ACACAGGTTCTTCCTGACTCAGGGGAAAGGGAATGCACAAAGCAACCCCTTTCTCAGGGAGGTCCAGAGCTGGGGACAGGGGTGGGTGGAGCCATCCTAAACCTTGGCACAGTCCCCAGCTTTGAACATTATTGTGGGCTTTTATTTTGTCTGGACACTGTCCCCACTTCTTTGAGGGAACTACTCACCACCCCTATCAACCCCTGAACCACCACCCCCACCCCAACTATGTGGGTGCTGGTGGGAACTGACAATCACAGTACAGCCCTCATCCTGGCCAGAGGCCTGGGCACGGACCCAGCTGGAACCATGGTCGTGCCTCACAGTGATGGGTCCAGGGGCGAGCAAGTGATTCAAGCCAGCCAATCAGCATTCTCCCCAGGACTTTTCTGGGGCTGCTTCATGAGTCCTTTCGCTAGAAGCATGTGTGCCTAGGTCTGCCAACAGAATGGCTCTCATTATGTAGGGAATCCCTTAGGAAGAGCCTAAATCTCACACTCGGAAGAGAACAGATGAGAGTCTTGACAGAGTTCAAGCCCCTCATTCCAGCCAGCCCCCGCAGCCGCCTCCACTCCTCACCCGGGCCTCCTGCCATTCGGTTTGTGAGCTTGTAACCGAAGAGCCTTGCCTAACACAAACCAGCGTGCTTGCTGCCTGGGCAGAGCTACCCCACCCACATCTCACACCCATTTGGAAGTGGCCGATTCAGTGTGTGGTTTGCCCAAGCCCCTGACTTCTCCTTTTTAGCTTCTTGCATCAGATGGGCAGGAAAAAACAGGGAGGCCACTCCGGGCCCTGGCAGATGCAGTGGGTATTAGGTCGCCGGAAGGGGGAACTCAGAAGGCCAGAATGGTGAGGGATTATGAATTTATTCAATCATCCGCATACCAGGTGGCTGAGCCTGGATGGCTCCAGCCCCCGGTGATGGGAGTTAGTGGCTTTTAAAGGACTTTTGGCGGGCTTTTTCTGGGCGGAGACTTCTTTGTGCAGACCTGGAGGGGAGATCATGGAATGTGGTCACAACAAGTGAAATGAGGTCTCAGCAAAGGGAATGTCCTTAGTGAAGTGGCTTGAAAAGCCAGTTCCCCGGGGAGGGATATCGATTCAATTGTTTGATCAGACTTAATAGTGGGTGGTCCCTGAGGGTGAGGCCCAGGGGGGCCCAGCACCTGCCCTTTCCCAGCTATAAAGTGTATGTGGCTCCTCTTG